GACTCTGTCGGCAGTGTATTTCACCCAGCGTCGTTGCACCCCGATCAAAACTCGCTTTGAAACAAACACTCGAGCCACCGAGTGGGTAGTTGATCCTCTGCCAAGGGGGCGCTCGCCGCCGATCCGGAATCCGGCTCCGGCTCATATTTTCTCGCCACCGATTCTTCCGGCTTGCTGGCCACGTTCCTTCCACCTAGTCACGTGAAACATCGGCGAATTTTCAGCAACAAATCTCTTCTCGAGGATCGAAGAAGGGCTATGGGAATTCCTGGCCATCGTAAATTCGACGGGGCACGCGGCGAGATCGGTCCCAAGGCCGTTTTCCAGGGGGCTGCATCATCGCGAACGCGTTATCGAGGTGTCCGTGTCACGGATTTGTCCGCCTGTCGCGAATCCGGAGCGCGAAAACGTCGCTCGTTAGAGGCTTCTTCACGGTGGACGACGGACAGAAAACCGATAAACGCGTCATCCACCCCCGCGCCGCTGTCATTGCGCCGATCTCCGGTGCGTTGCAATTTTCGAGCACGAACGGCAACGAGAGGGCTTCGAGTTTCGAGTTATCCAAGTGGAAACCGGGTTAAGGGACGTCGAACTGCGTTTTCGAGAGGGTTGGATTAGTTTTTCTATAATACTTCTGCTATGCCTTTTCTTCCTTCGTTCCTCACGCGCCATTTTATTGCGCGCAATTGGTGATTCGAGGGTGATCGAGATCGCTGGAGCAACAATCTTCTTAATTGCGTCCTCCGGTGGCGTTATCTCGGAGTGCTTTTCGAACCTCGGTTCCCTCTTCCATATCGCGAAATTCTTTTAAGAAAAATAATCGACGATGTAGCGTCAATTTGTAGAAATATGATACAAATATAAAATTGACACGGGTGAGAAGCAACCCTAAATTCGTGTATGAATGCATCTGTCGATGAGGAAAAAGAAAGCTTAGATATTGTTTCCACTCTTAGAGACATCGAGGGCCTGGTTTATATCTGTAGCGACCAACGTTCACACTCTCGCCGATAGATGGCAAACGGAGGTTCGAGGTTTCTAGTAAGTTCTCGGTGAATCCTCGACTTTTCATAAATACAAGTTCCTATGCTATCTAAGTATCCCCCGTCTAAGGATGGGCCTTAGTTCACTAGCAGGCCCAGGACAAAACGCATCCCTTCTATGTGTCCTCCTACCTGCTACCTATCATAACATAATGACCAACAGGATACCAACCGACAGCTTCCGTAGGAATCACAAAGAACTGTATGAAAAACCCCCTTGTCTCTAAGGCCCAAAGTCTCACCAATAATCTGTCTGAGTGTCTTTTGTCCGATATTGAATTCGAAAAAGTGAAATTCCCGTAGGAATCGTATTCACTGTAGGATTCACAAGACTTCATCCCAATCCCGTGGAGGGTCCCCCACATGTCTTTACGACCAACGCTTGATGATTCGCGGCCACACGGACTAACTCGAGAGGTTTGGGCCAGGCCCTGGAAAAAACAGTCCAGTCGCGAATAGAATGCGGAACAGAGCTTTTTGACGACAGACACCTGCCCCCCTCGCGTAATAAAGCTCGTATTAACCCCTTCCTGTGACATTTAGCTCGACGAAATCCGGGCCCAAACGGTAGGCGCCAACGCGTGGTAAACAAACACCAAACTAATACTCCAAAACAGTCACAATATAGCCTGGCACGTGATGCTTACGTTTGGGCCGACTTTCTGCTCGTGATATTCATCTTCGGACCAAAATCTTCATCACGAGTCAGGCTCTTTAAAGTACAGGAAGAGGTTAACTCGAAATACAGCCTTCGATCTTTAATACTCACGACATCCCTTCAATCCCATTTTATAGCGTATATATTCGCACGTTATCCGTATAAATTTATTTAAATTTAAAAAGCAGAATGGTGCTTAAAATTGTATAATAAAGAGCATGAGTTGCACAACGAGGGATGGAACGACTGGATTACCCTGAAGAACGCTATATCTTCGGCCACATCATCGGAGGGCCAGTCTCTCAGAGAGAATCAAAGCAAACATTTTCAAAGTTTCGTCGAGTCTAATTGTCGAATGCGAGGAAATTCGTCTGAACCGCGTGGCTCGGTTCCGCGTGCGGAAAGAACGCGACCTGGATTCTGTCCTGGAGGACCCACGGCAGGAATTTTGTATGAAGCGGCACGGTTACGCTGACGCGGCAAGATAAACGGCGCCGGGCAAGGAATTCCGAGAAAACGATAAAACTCTGTGAATTTACAACGACGAGGAATTCCGCGAGGACGCGAGGGGATGCTCATGAAGTCCTCGCGGTGCGACGGATCCGGGAAAAACCGTGTTTTCGAGGGAAAGTTCGCGAGGACACGCAGAGGAGGAGGAGTGGATGAAATTCGGGCCTCGGCGACGTGGATGGGTCATCGACTTGTCTCCATAAATCCCGAATGAACCGCAGCCGATGGCTGCCTGATGGAAACACGATGCCCGGGATATCGGGTTAATTATATTTCAGTTACGAAATTAACGAGAAGTGTCGCGTGATCGAAATATTCTGCAGAGATCGGCCATGCCTGCGCGCCATTTTGCCATGGGGAGAGCGCCATGTCGTTCGGGGGAATAGACTGGATCAGAGAGACACTTTCGCAAAATAAAATCGCGAGATTCCGAAACACTATTCGCGTACAGTGTATTGGATACAGGGTAGGAGGATCCAAGCTTCTCTAACCTCTGCAAAGAGGCTACCACAGGAGACCTGTTCCTTTTGAAAAATTCTTCAGATATTTCGGCTCGGTTGGCAATTAACCCTCGGCAATCTCAAGGTTCCAAAGAAAAGGACAGATATTT